CTCTGGGCCCTGGGGAGTCAGGGAGAAAGGTTCAGATGGGAGGCTGCTGCCTGCAGGAGAGCTGACGGAGGTGGTGACCGGAGCTGGGGGGCTGGGGCGGCCAGGGAGGTGAGTGAGGACTGGGGGATGACGCGGGGGCTTGAGCAGCTGAGGGGACGATGAGAGGTGGCCGGAAGTCAGTGGCTGGTTTCAGACTTCGGCCCTGGACACCCAGGTGGCATAGACAGGTGGACAGTGGGCACAGGGCTTCAGGGGAGAGGACAGTGTCGGGGAGGAACATTTCCGGCTGCAGACGGGGCGGCCCTCCCTGGGAAGTCAGTGCAGTGAGTAGAGGGGAGCAGAGGACCCAGGCCATCCCCAGGGAGCTTGCAGCTGGAGCTGCCCAATGGGATGCAGTGTCTCTCCCCAGGCCCCGCTGGCTGTGTGGCACTGCATCACCCTTCCCACCCCTGGGCTGCCTGTCCCTGAGCACTGTCCCCCTCTGGGAGGTCTGGCCCTGTTCTAGATTTCTCCCCCTCCGAATTCAGGATTTGGACCTGCGTGCACACTCCAGTCCTGTGCCAGGTCCTGGTGGGTCCGGACAACATACTTTCCTCTTTCCCACCAGCCCATCTTTCTGTGCGCTTACATGCCAACCACATGCTTTCTTTGGTGAAGGATCTGATTGAATATTTCGCCCATTAAAAAAAAATTGGATGGTTTGTTTTCTTGTTGAGTTTGAGAGTTCTTTGCATATTTGAGTTGTAATCTTTGTGCTGGTGGAGGGTTTGAAATAGTGCCAGAATGACCAAAATGTGACACAGATGCGGGAAGTGAGCAAATGCTTTTGGAAAAATGGCGCAGATAAATTTGCTTCACTCGGGTTGCACAAACCTTCAATTTGTGAAAAACGCAATCTCTGTGGTGTGTAATAAAGTGAAGTGCGATAAAATGAGGTCTGCTTGTATATTGATTTTATTTTTAGTATAAAGTCAGTTGCATTTCTGCATTGAAATTCACTTTGTTGTGATGCACTTTCATATACTGTAGGATTGTATATGCCAAAACTTAAGAACTTTTGCATCTGTATTTATGAGGAATATTGATGTGCTTACTGGTAGTATCTTTTTGGTTTTGGTATCAGGTTAACGCTTGCCTTGTAGAATGAGTTGGGAAGTGGTCTCGTATTCAGTTTTCAGGATAAGTTAGTGAAGAATTAGTATTATTTCTTCCTTGAGTGCTTCTTCCATTGAAGCCATCTTGAGTGGCTCCTTCTTTGTTGGGAAGGTTTTTAACTTGAATATATAGGGTGATCTGATTTTTCTTGAGTGAGTTTTGATAGCTTTATTCTTCTGAGAATTCCACCTAAGTTGTTAAGTTTATTGGCATGCAGTAGTTCTTAACATTCCTTATTATGTTGTTCTTTTTACTGAAGTGAAATTCACATAACACGCATGAATCATTTGAAAGTGCACCACTCAGTGGCATTCGGTGTGTTCAACATTGTGCAGCCACCACCCAGTCTTGGATTTTTTTTCAAAGTCTGAGATTCTCTTTTTTTTTTTTTATCACCCCAGAGGAACATCTCACACCCATTAGGTAATCAGTCGCCTCTCCGTCCTTTCCTCATCACCTGGACACCACTTAGCTACTTTCTGTCTCTGTGGATTTACCTAATCTAGATATTTCACATAAATGGAATCCTATGGAATGCGACCTTTTCTGTCTGGCTTCTTTCACTGAGCATCGCGTGTTCAAGGTTCCTCTGAGTTGGAGCATATATCAACCCTTCATTGCTTTTTACGGCTGTGGAATATTCCGTTGTGTGGACAGATTACAATTAGTTTATCCATTCATTTGTTGATGTACCTTTGTGATGTTTCCTCATTTTGGCGATTGTGAATAATGATGCTGTAAACAAGTATCTGCTTTTCTCTCTTCAGTTCTTTTGGGTGAATACCTAGGTGTGGAATGGCTGGGTCATGTGACAATTCTGTGTGTAACGTTTTGAGGAACTGGCAGTCTGTTTTCCAGAGGCTGCACGGTTTTGCTTTCACACCAGTCATGTGTGAAGGTGCCCTTTTCTCCACATCCTCACCAGCACTTGAGTGTATGTGGAGTGTTACTGTGTGGAGGGCTCTAGAAATGTCAGCTGTCCTGGGGGGATAGTGTTGTTCGTGCTGTATCCTTTACTGATCTAACTAGTTGTTTTGACCCCTTTATTATTATGTAATGTTCTCTTTCACGTCTGATAATATTCTTTGCTCTGAAACCTACTTTATCTGATGTTAACGTAGCCATTCCAGCTTTCCTTTGATTAGGATTAGTACATCTTTCCCATCCCTTTTACTTTAACCTATTTTATCTTTACATTTAAAGTGAGTTTCCTATAAATGGTGTATGGTGACGTCCTGTTTTTTATCCAATCTTGACATCTCTGTATTGTAATTAGGATGTTTTAGATCATTTGTATTTAATGTGATTATTGATATGATTGAGTTTAACCATCTTTTGCTATTGGTTTTCTATTTGTCCGATTTGCTATTAGATTTTCTCTATCTCTCTTTTGCCTTATTTGGACCGAGTACTTTTTATGGTCAAGTTTATCACCTTTCCTCGCTTATTAGCTATCTCTCTTTGTTTTTAGAAGTTTCTTTGGGATTCATTGTCTTCAAGTAGTGTCAGCCCAGTTCCCGTAGAGTGTAAGCCTCACAGCAGTGCCCGTCCGCCTCGCTTCCCCGGCCCGTGTCATTGTTCACGCCGCTTTGCCTCCACACTGCTGTAAGCCCCACAGTACACTGTGAGCATTCTTTGCTTTAAATAGTCCATTATCTTTTAAAACAGTCTTTAAAATTTAAAAAGCTGTTGTATTTATTCATGAATTTTCTGTTTTTCATTTCTTTCTGTAGATTTAGATTTCCTTCTGATATTGTTTTTCTTTTGTATGATGGACCTACTTTAATATTATTTGTAGTTTAAAAGTGCCAGTGATGAATTACTTTAGCTTTTGCTTGTTAGAAGAAGTCTTCCTTTGGCCTTTGTATTTGGGAGTTATTTTCACTGTGTGTGGTAATTCAGGCTGACCGTTTTTCCCATCGTTACTTATAGATGCCACTCCGTTGGCTCTGGCTTGCGCTGTTTCTGGGAAGTCTTAGTCCACCGTGTCTGTCTGCCCCTCTGTGCACCATGTTTCTTTTTTCTTCGGCTGCTTTTAAGGTTTGCTCCTTTGGGTTAGGTGGTTATCAGGTTCCTTGGCTTGATTTCCTTCCTGTTTTCTCCTGCTTGGGGATTGCTGACCGTCTTGGATTTATGGGTTCATAAGGGTTAAAATTTTTTGTCATTGTTTTCTTTAAATGTTTTTGTCCCATCCTGTTCTCCCTGCTGAGTGTCCAGTTACACAAATATTTCTGGTTTTTTTTTTTTGAAGAGGGAGTCTCTCTTTCCCTGTGTCATTTCAGACCATTTGTATGTGCAGATTATTTTGTCTGCACGTTGACTGATTTTGCTTTTTCTAGTGTCTAGTGTGATATTAATGCCATCTAGTGTATTTTTCATCTCAGATATATTTTTCATCTCTAGATACTTGATATGAGTCTATTTTTAATGCTTTTCAAGTCTCTCCTGGCATGTTGTGCTTGCCTCTGTCTTGAACATGTGCACCGTGCTTGTAATTGCTGATTTAAGGACCTTATGGACTAATCATTTCCTTGTGTGATTTCTGGGGGTTTTCTTACTGATCAGCTACCCTCATTATGAGATATATTCTTATGCTTCTTTGCATGCCTGGTATTTTTTAAGTGGATGAAAGACAGCATGATTTTATGTTGTTGGGTTCTGTATTCTTTTAAATATTTTGAACTTTCTTTTTGGAATGTAGTTCAGTTACTCGGGAAGCTTAGGCCCTTTGGTGGTGTGTTGTCAGCACTGAGAGGCAGCACCTGTTTTAATCTGGTGCTGACATGGCCCTGCCACTGAGGCTCTGCTCTCCCGAGTGCCCAGTCCGGTGGCCCCTGTGTCACAGGTTTCCTCGTCTGCGTTTTGGGAGTGTGGTCTGTTCCTGGAGCCGTGGTGATCACAGCCACCCTTTGTCCTGCTTCCTTCTGCTGGCACCTCCCCTGGCCTCAGGCGGCTCGCTCACTCCCACCTGCTGACCAGTGTCCCAGTGAAGAGTCAAGCGAGCCCGCGCCAACTGGGGCCTGGGCCATTTCCCAGCTGTCTCCTTCCTGCCCCTCTGCCCTGCTAATTCCAGGTGCTGTGGCCTCCTTGAGTCTCAGCTGTTTTCCCATCTCAGGCCTCCCCTGGCTTTCCCGGGTTCCCCCTCCCTGGGCTGTGGCCTGAGACACCCCCCGAGCTGTCAGCTGGGCAGCCAGGATGCACCCCGGGCGTCCCTCCCTCGAGGTCCTTGTCCCGTGTTGCTTGTCGTCCAGGGTCAGCGCTCCTTTGTCTGGCGTCCTTTCTCTGTGTTTCGGTTGTTTGCGGCTAGAGGGCCAGCCTGCTTCCTCCTCTCCTGCCGTGGCTGCCCATGGGCGCCCTCTCCCTGGTCTTCAGCCCGCGCTGGACAGGGGCTCGGGCTGCCGCGCAGCGGCCCCTTAGGTCTGCCCGGGCCGGCTCATGGTGCTCGGCGGGGCGCTCCTCAGACTTGGAGCTGGGACCACAGGGGTGGGCATCTGGGTGGGGCCCTGCCTCCCCCTCCCTGCTCCCCACAGACTGAAAGGGACTGGGGAGTCAGCCCTGCCCCAGGCTTCCCTCGGGTTTAGCACCATGGGCTCCGATCAGGAGAGTCTGGGCTCGGGGTGTTTGTCAGTATCTTTTAAGTTCCAGACTCAGGGCAGTCCCAGCACCTTCCGTGGACTTCTTTTCCTTGGAAACTGCCTCTGCCCTTCCAAATAACTGGTTTATGACTGTATTCGTTTAATGAATTACTTTATTTGGATAAGTTTGACATCTAAGGTGATAGATCATTCTTAGGGTTATTTTCTACCTATGATTTCCAGTTATAATTTTATTTTTTTAACCTGTTTACAGGGCTGTCTACAGAAAGAAGATCTTCACAGGGTTCCATGTTGGTGGTGCCTCTCACTCTGCCCTTAGAGAGGTATGCCTTTAAATCAGTTCTTTCTGCATCAGTTGATTTTTAAAGTCTTGCTTTCGTATGAAGCCCTGTGTCTTTCTGACTCTCCTGTGGCCTGGTTTTATGTCACATGAGGGGCCTGTCGCAGGTCAGGGTGCAACAGTGGTGTCAGTGACGCGCACCGGTTACCTTCTGGCTTCCGCAGAAGCAGTGTTTAAAGAGAGAGTTTCCTCCTCGTTGGTTAACCTTTCTTCCTCAGAGTTAACCTGACTAAACCGCCCAGCAGGGCCTGAGGACGAGCTGTCAGCGTGTCCCCTGTTCCAGCAGAGCCCATCAGCCGGGCAGTGACAAGTACGCCCTGTGGCTGTGACAGTGTGTGTCCAGGCCCTGTGGACACCCCTTTGTGGCTGTGACTCCGGTTTTGCAGAGCACCTAGAAATGATTCCTTTTAAATTTATCTTTAAGATGCCTTCGTTTTTCCAAAGCTCGTGAACGATCTTTCTTTATACACGTGCGGCAGTCTTGTGTGGAGGACGGATGTGGTCACGGTGGGGGCGCCTGCTTCGTGCTGGCTCTGCTGGTCTGCACATCTCACACCCGACTCCCCCTCACCGCACAGCGCCTGCGAGATGGGGGCGGTCCTTCGATCCGTGGTTCACGGCTTGGGGAGGCGACGACATCTCTGTGCTTGTCAGGAGAGGGGTAGGGGTCTGAGCCAAGGCCTCTGACCTCTTGAGCCTGAGTCCGCTTCACGACGGCGGGGGAAGCGGGAGCTGCCCTAGCTGTGGGATGTGGGCTCTGGACTCGGTGTCTGTCCTCCCCGGTGGTCTCGACCACAGCCCTGAGGGGCTGTCGTGGGGTCATGGCTCAGCCGGCCCTGGTCGCAGAGCCCTACAAGCACCATGGTGACCTTCCGGAGTCGCCAGCCGCCCCCTCAGGAGACACGAGCCACGGTGGCAAGGCGTCAGAGAGCACGTGCACCCAGGCCCTTGGGGACGGTGGTGACGGGGCCGACGGACACTTGAAGAGAGGGGTTCTTAGTTAGCCTGAACAAAGCCCTTAACTGCTCTTTCGTTCATTCAGCAAATATTTAAGAATGCTTGTGATGGGCCTGGAACCCCGCTTCCATCAGTTCGTGTCACCTTGTGGGGGTGACAGAACATAGGAGCGGTAAGCCAGTGTGTCACACAGTGTGTCACACAGTGTGTCAGGTGGTGACACTTGCTGGGCAGGGCTGGAGGAGGTGGGTGAAGTTTGGAATGGGTGGGGAGCAGGCATCTGAGCAGAGCCTGTGGCGAGTGCAGGGTGGAGGCCGAAGGAGCCCAGAGCAGAGGCCCTGGGCCACGTGCCTGGCGTGTTCACAGGGCAGCCAGGGGCCGGGGGTGCCTGGGGGGTGGGGGGCGGGGAGTGGAAGGGCGGGGCCCGGAGACGAGGGCCGCAGGAGACGTGCCAGGGGCCTGGAGGGTCGTGTCTCAGTGCGGGGATGAGGACTGAGCGTGGGAGCGGGAAGCCAGGTCATCTTCTTTCTCTCCTTGCGGATTCTTTTTACAAACTAAAGCTGTAACAGTACCCTCTTCTTAGAAGACATCCGAATCCCTCCTGGCCTGGGACCAGCTTTGTAATCGTGCAGACCTGGGTCTCATTTCCACAGAAGTCCTGAGGGAAGGGCCTCTGGAACTCAGGCCCCCGTGTGTGCTGGGCCTCTCTCCCAGGACGCTGGTGTTGTCCACGTCCCTCCCCTGGCAGACAGGGGGCAGGGGTTCGCCCTGGCCTGCAGTTCCGGGGGCAAACCGACATGCTTGGGTAGGGTGGGCGGGCAGGCCCAGAGCTGCTCCCCCTGTCTGCGTGTGCCAGCTCGACTGTGGGCACCAGAGAAGGCCCGAGGCACGTGGGCTGTGAGGCCGAGCCAGCAAGGCCGCTGAGCCCCAAGACAGTGATTCTGAAGGACAGGGGGGAAGGTTCTGGGATCCCTGAGGGCTTGGTTAAGGAAGCCAGCAAGCTATTTACAGGGAACCCATGCCTCTTCTGCGGGTGGGGAGGGAGCTGTTAGGAGCACTGAGCTGGTGGAAACAGAAATGAGTCTGCTTGCATTGGTAATCCTGGTGGAACCCTGCAATGTCTTCCTTGGGGGGCTGGGGGTGGGTGTGACGAACCCGCGGAACTCATCTGCGGTGGATGTTTCCCAGGGGAGGTGGTGGCTTTGGAAGAACTTGGTTTTCCATTTGCACGTCTTCGAGAACTTTCCACGCTTCCTGAGAGTGGAGAAGGGCAGTCTTTCGTGGTGGATCCGCAGACAGGCCTCCCCCGGCTTTTGTGCGGTGCTGAGACGCAGGTGGGCGTCCTGATCCCTGCTCTGTTCTGTGGGGACTCGGGCTCCCAGGGCCCCGCAGCTCGGTCAGGGCAGAGCCCACCCCTCACCCGGCTCAAGCCGGGGCCTGCGACTACATGCAGCTCAGGAAACTAACAAACGATAGCGAAATTTGCTGAGATTTTTATTGACTTTGGGTCTTTTATTCTTGGTAATACTGAGTTGATTATTTGCTTTTTATGCCGCCCCCCCCCCGCTGCATCAAGATAACTACTTTTACTGCACGACTGGAAAACTTGGAAAACATGGAAAAGAACTCTGAAACTCAGCGACAGTGAGTGCAGGCAGGAGGGCAGTGCCGAGGAGACTGTCCTTGGTGACCCCCCACCTTCAGCCTGCGCTTCACAGGGTCGCCCTGAAATCGCCTTCTCACAAACACCCTGGCTTCTTCTGCCCGCACTGCCCCTCTGCACCACGTTAGCGCGCCGTGTCCTGTTGCCGGGGAGACCACGCAGCCCTGAAGACTGCGCAAGGGTCTGGGGGGCCCCAGCCCCGCCCAAAGCCCTAGTGGGTTTGCTCTTATGTGAAGCCTTCCTCGTACATCTGACCTTCCGTCCTCAGGTTTCTAATGGAATCAGCTTTCCGGCTCAGCTCACTTCAAGGAGAAAAGCTGAAATAGGAAACTGGTGGGAAGCCTGTTGAGGAACAGCCAGACACCCAGCCCTGTGCCCACGCCTCGACAGACCCCTCCCCACCCCGGCTGGACACAGAGGGCCTCCCTCGCGGGTGGGCCAGGGGCCTGCAGGCATGGCAGGGGGGCTGTCCCAAAGAGAAAGCAGGGCCACACTCAGTGGGTTTTGGAGCATTGTGACCCCAGCCCTACCCTGTTCACACCCAGAACCCTGGACCCCCTGTGGACCTCTGCGCGGGGGAGGGGAGGGGGGTACAGGGTGGGGAGGAGGGTTAATTCCTGAGTTTGTGGGAGGAAGCTAGGAGACGGTGCATGCGATCGCAGAGGCTCAGAGCCTGTCGCCAGAACCTCAGAGATCAGAGGAAAGAGGGCGAAGATCAACCCTGCCGGGATGGGGTGGGGGCTGGGTTGGGGGGCGCTACACTGTTGCGCCATCAGCTCTGTGGGGCTCTGGGACTCCTGAAACCGTTACGTTTATAATTTAGGGTTTTTTGTTTGTTTTCTTGTGTCTATACCTGTATTTTACTGACGTATAGTCAGTTTACAATGTTGTGCTTATAATTTTGTCAAAAACATAAATGACAAAGTTATGTAGAAAATTCTATTTTACAAAAAAAAAATTGGAAAGCAGGGCCCCTCCGCTTCCCCGGCTGTGCTTCTGCCAGGCCATCTGCCCTCCCCAGCGGGGCTCCGCCTGCCGTGGGGCCTCTGCCCGCAGCCTCCGCCACCTCTGCCGAATCTGGTGGCAGGCCTTTGTCCTTGGGGAGCTGGGCTCTGCAGCGTCAGGCCCGCAGAGCCCCCTCTTCTTGAGCTGAGGCCCTTCTCCGGCTCTGCTTGCCTGGTGTTCCACGTTGGTGTGTGTCACCCACCGCTGCCCCCGCCCCCGGCACGTGGGCCTTCACTGTGCTTCACAGCGCCTTCTCGGCACCCCGGGAGGACCCTGCTGACGGCTGGTGCCCGGGGCCGTGGGTTGGGGGCCGAGGCTCTGCTGCAGACAGTTTGGTATGTTCTACTCCAGACTTCAGTTCCCCTTTTAAATTGGGTAGTATGCTGCAAAGTGTGCCACGTGACTGGGGGCACTGCTTTTAAAGGGTCGTGTAGTTTCCACTACATGGATGTAGGTATTATTTTCTTAAATCATTCCCTTTTTGTTAAATACATTTGGGTTTTCTCCAAATCTGTGACTGACGTCAGTGGTCGTGAGGTCGGCATCCTTGTGCTTAAGTCGGCTCCCGCTCGTGCCGAGGCCGTGCTGCAGTCTTGGTCCACGCGGGCTCCCTGGTCAGAGGAGAGGGACACCGAGGGACACGTTAAAGAGGCGTCTGCGCAGCTGCCAGCTTGCCCTCGAGCTGGCGGATGAGGGCAGCATGCAGAGCCAGGGCTCCCGTCCCCGCAAAATGCCAGAACTCCCCGCACCTCCCGTGCGGACAGAGTCTGGCACAGGCGGGGGGCCCTTCCGCCAGAGCCCGTACGCCCTCCTCGTGTGTCAGCGCTCCTGTTTCACTGAAGACATTCAGCGTGGTGTTGGGGACAGACGTGGCCCCCAGCAGACAGTCATTCTCCTTTAATCTGACGTGGGCGCTTTGGGCCCCTACCTCAAAATTTCCCTATGTGATGTCTCCTCTGGTGTTTGCGTTCGGAAACCCTTCTCCGCCCTGCGGTGCGGGGCAGCCGCTTGCGTTTTCTTTGCTGCTTTTCCTTTGGCATCGGCTGTGTAACCCGCTTGGGGTTAGTTTGATATATGTTACTAGGGGAACATGTAAGTTACTTTGTCTCACAAAGACTGAAAACACAACTTGTTGAAAAATGCTTCCTCCTCCCGACGCCTGGGGCAGCTGCTCGCGCCCGGTATGTGCAGCTTACGCGGAGCTGTCGTCCGCACCAGCGCCTGCTCCCGCGTCCTCCAGTTGCTCTCTGTTCATTCTTGTGCTGCTACTCTTTGAATTATTTTAGTTTTATGGTATATTTATCTGATGATCCCAGCATGTAAAAAAACCGGCTGTTCTTGGCTGCTCTATCTCTAGA